CAAACATACCTTTTTGTGGAGAATAAACAGATTTCACAGCTAGCGGGGATTGAGATAGGAAAAATTGTTCTTCGTTACTAATTTGAGTTTGCCAGTTAGCACAATGAATTTCAGCTGATTCTTCAGAGCTAGAACATTAGCCAATGAATATTGACTCTGCCTGGTGTCTGGGTTTCATCTGATACACACTCTGCTCGGGTGGCCTGATTGATGAGTCTGTTCTGCATGATCGCCGCACCTCTGCCGTCGCTCCTGCCTGAATTGGCTCTGACATAGGGAGCATCACAGAACCAAAGCATGGTTCTCAGAGGGCACTGGGTCCAGATGCAGGGGGTACCGGTGGTGGCTGCACGTATTTTTGAGAAAATAGACTTGCTGGCATAATTAGCAGTACATCTCTTGTTCTCTAAAACAGGATCATTTCTATCCCAGGCCTTGCTTTGCTCCAGGACATCAACCTCACTCCAGGGAGGAGAGGCCCAGGTCCCTGTGGGAATGTAGATTTTGCTTCTGGGAGATTCCACAGGCAGAGAGTGGATTCCTTTTTTTCAGAAGATGTGTCTTACCGCGTTTCCTTTCATATTCCGCACAATGACAGTTGGACAGGCTCCATGAGCATCATGGATGCCCCTCTGTGGTCCACGAAGTCACCTTGGAGAGGGCGGAGCCGGCCGTGCTGGTGCCTGGTATGCACATGCTTCGTGAGGCTGAGATTGAATCAAAGACCGAAAGCACATCATGCTTATATCACTCCAAAGCACAAGGGACTTTCACCTAAAGAGGGTATACATTCCAGTGGAAAGCACACCACGTTACTGAGTTGTTCCCAAAAACTTGATCTGTGGTCTCCACTTCCCGAGGATGTGGAAAGTGGCCAGAGCCCCTTCGTGCTGTGCCCAGGCTGCCTGTAGCCAGAGGCAGAGGGATCCAGCCTGCTCCCATGTCTCCGCTGTTCTATGGGCATATTTCTCACACCCTGTTCTGCTATTAAAAATAAAATGAGGCACACATCACGTGTCTCAGGCTGCAAGACCCATTTCCTTCTAATAAGCGTCTTGTTTCCTGGGCTTTCCTTACCCTGGAAAGATGAACTCTCTAGAGGCTCCCATTATGGATTTCTAGTTTTGTACTTTTTTTCCCCTCCTCTCTGCTACTTTGAAAGAAAACGAAGTTAGTGAGCTCTGTCTGCCTCTGCAGATACAGACACACAGACCCTCCCCCCCCCCCCCCATCACACACACACAGGAGCAGATATTCTTTTTTTTTTTAATAATTTACTGATAGTTTCTTTTTTTTTTTTTAAGAGTTATCAATTTTACTGATTTTTTTTTCCAGAGCTCCAGCTTTTTTTTCTGGCCGTGCTGCACGGCATATGGGATCTTAGTTCCCTGACCAGGGATCGAACCCATGCCCCCTGCACTGGAAGTGTGGAGTCTTAACCACTGGACCGCCAGGGAAGCCCCCCTGGGAGCAGATATTCTTTGCAAACAGAGAAGAGTGGCTTTGTCCCACTTACTTGGGGGCCATAGAAAACAGAACTCAGAGCTGAGATGTACCTGCCCATCCTGTCCTGGGCTACAGTAGGGCCAGCCTGGAGACTGCAGACAGGTAAACCATGGGGGTTTGAGGCCTCAAGGGAGCATGTTCCTTCAAGCAGGGCAGTTCTGAGGAGACCCCTGTCTGAGGTCTGATTTACCAAATCCAGTAGCCCAGGGGTGAGGCAACCCTAGGCATAACCCAGGCAGCAAGGTGAGGATTGGGAGGCATACCCACCAAGGCCCTCATTTCCAGGTCAAGTTCTCAAACATCCCCAGCCAGGCCTCTCTGGAGTGACCAGTGTAAGGATACAGGCTCTTTCACCGGTAAGATCTAGGGCATGCAGGGGACCACAGGAGTGAGGCCAGGCCCTGTCAACAGAAGGGGACCATCCTTCGGAGTGATACCATCAGCCCAGAGAGTTCAGGATTGAGTCAGAGGAATGGGAAGAGGAGATGGTACCTCAGGAGAGAAGTGGTCCAGAGAAAAAGGGGCAGTGCTCAGCCTGAAGCTGACCACCAGGCTGGCCCACCTGGGACCCCAGCCTCTTCTGGGACCCCAGGCAGGGCCCTTGTCATCATCTGACATTTTCTACTGTTGCACAGTTTGTGTCAGCCCTGCTGTACAAAACCCTATCATAGAGGCTGGAAGGAGACCCGACCCAACCCAGTTTTCGGATGGGGACATTGAGGCTGAGGGAGAGGCCTGCCCTGGTCGCAGGGCAGAGCTAGATGGACTTCCTTGTAGGCTGACTCCCGTCTCAGGAGACCTCCCTCTGTATCCTCCTGCCCTTGGCGTCGAGATGTGGGCTGAGTGAGGCGTGGTCTCTGCCCCAGTGTCCTTGAGCACTGTGTGACGTGATCTCAAGCTGAGCCGTGGCTCTAAGCTCTTTTAGGGCCACCTGGCACCTGGTAGGAAAACATATGGCTGCTTTAGGTAATCTTGGGCATGTTGCATTGATGAGAAAATTCTCAAAATGCAGACAAACCTCTTAATTCAGAATTTGGAAAGGGCTAAAATGTTTTCTATATCATCAATGGAAAAAAGAGGGGTGTTTGAACAGCAGATCAATAGGGTGTGAAAGAGAACACAGGCTTCCTGTTCTTCTCTTAAACACTTTAACGATGTGCACAGATCCTTAGAAAGGGGCTCAAAGGACCTTAAGGATTCTCTTGGCCAACCCAGCTCATTTACACGTGAACAAACCGAGGCCTCAGTATTTGGCTGCAGACCTAATTAGCTAACATGCCTGGCTGGGAGCCCAGGGTCTTGACTCCCAGGCTGCTTCCCTCTGCCGGAGCACACATTTATTCACGTAGCGCATTCAGAGCGCTGAATTAGTACCGATAATAATGAATCTGCTGCTAATATCTGATGCTTATTTGTTCAGACCCATCGTCCATTGAACAGCTGTCCATCTAGCGCCTCCTTCAGAGCGTAGGTGGGAACATACCGCTGTGAATGAAATGTATGAGGAGCTTGCAGCTCCGAGAAGCCGTGATTTCTGCACCATGATTTCATCCTATTTCTAGTTGGCACGTGCGCGGTGTCACGTGGGAGGAGTAAATGACCTGCTGGACAGTCGGCAGTGAGGGAACTTGGCTGTGGTGAGCAAAGGTGTTTTTGTGAAATATGCTGCCCTCGTCTTGGTCTTGGAGGACCGATATGATTTGGGCAGGTAAAGAGGATTGCAAGGTATTTCAGGTGGAAGCACTTGATGGTAGAGTGTAGAGGGCTGAAAAACAACCCCCAAAGGTATCAGATTCCCATCCCTGGAACTTGTAAATGTCACCTTGGAAAAAGGGTCTTTGCAGATGTCTTTAAATTAAGGATCCTGGGATGGGGAGATTATCCTGGATTATACGGTGGTCCCTAAATGCAATCACAAGTGTCCTTGTAAGTGGGAGGCAGAGGGACATCACAGACAGAAGACGAGAAGGTGATGTGATCACAGAGCAGCTAGCTATTGGAGTGATGCGGCCACACGCCAAGGAAGTAAGCTTGTAGGAAGAGGCAGGAAAAAAGAATCTTCCTTGGATCCTCTGGAGGAGTACGGGTCTGTCCCCACCTTGATTTTGGCCCAGTGATACTGATTTGAGAGTTTTGGCCTCCAGGCTGTGAGACAATAACTTTCTGTTATTTAAGCCACCACGTTTGTGTGATTGATTACAGCAGCCCCAGGAAATTAATACAAATAGGAAAGGGAAAGCCTGCTCGGGTAAGGGTTCAATGTGTTTGCTGGGAGGACAGTCACATATTTAGGGAAGTGGTAACTACAGTTGACCCTTCATGGATGCTGAACCCATGGATTCGAGGGCCAGCTGCCCTGCCGATACCAAGGGATGACTGTAAATGGTTAGGGCCAGCATCTTGCATTAGTTTGAAGAGTTCCTGCAAATTTCTGCCTGGATCTTATCTTCCCACCTGGAGTGAGGGGCTCTGGAGGGGAACCACGATGTCCGGCAGATTTCTCTGCAGTCCTAACTCCCGTGTTCCTTGTTGAATGGCCTCATGAATACTGGCAGCTGCTGTAGCTGGGCTCACACTGGGTTTATTGATGACAAATCAAAGCTGTCTGGAGCTCAGAGACAATTGATGTACCTCTCATCCGCAGACTGTGATCTCCAATCGAATTCCCATGACCTACCTCGCAGGGGTGTGATGTGTTAGGAAATGCTCAGCCAACCCAGGACGAACAGGCGGCGGCGGCAGAGGTGGGGCTCTGGAGGGAGGCACTCTGGGTGGAAAGCAGAGCAGCTCTGGTTGGGGTAAGAGGATGGGAGTTTCCCTGTTGGGTGAAATGGCCTTCTTGATGGCAGAGTCAAATTCTCTGCCAGCCCCAGAGAATGTGATTAAAGGTGGCTCTGGGGCTCTTAATGACACTCTTATTGATCTGAGGTTGTTTATGGCCATAAAACAGCTGTAAATTAGAGGAATGAAATAAAACCAGCAGGGTACTTAACTCCTGTCCTCCTAGGAGGTTGAGAAAGCTTTCGGCACAGCTCCTGCGGCAGCAGGGAGCTGAAATGTAAGTCTGCAAAGGGGAATCTCATTCTCTTTCCTCCTGACGGTCCAAGCTAGTAGCTGTCTTCTCACCGCTGAAACCTAATCGTCATCCTTGTTGGGAAAGTGTCGGCTAACACAGTTCCCAGCTGGGACCACCGTTTAATTGTTTACCGGCTACTGTGTGTTAGATGCTCAGGGCCAGTTATCTCCTCCTTCCAAAGCTGTTCTTCTGTTTTTATCCCTCTTCTCTCCCTTTCCTTTACTCCCATCTCCTTTTCTCTCCCTCTTTTTTTTCTTCCTTTCTTTTGTTCCTCCTTTGGCCACCCTTTTTATCAGATTAAAGGGTTTTGACACATCACTATTTGTAAAGCAGCTAGAAGTTTCCAACTATCGCCAACCATTTCAATGCAGTAGACCACACCTTGTGACATTGGACTTTCTTTGCTTTCCCCTTGTAGAGATCCGAGAGGCCTTTCGGGTTCTGGACCGAGACGGCAATGGCTTCATCTCCAAGCAGGAGCTGGGAATGGCCATGCGCTCGTTGGGGTACATGCCGAGTGAGGTGGAACTGGCCATCATAATGCAGCGCCTGGACATGGACGGTGAGACCCGGGCCTGCAGCGTCCCCCCACTGGGATGAGCCTGGGCTCATCAGGGAGATCTTGGGTTTAAGGGCCCTTGCACTTGGAGTCGAAAGACTTTGATTCATGTCTTGGTTTACCTTTGAGGAGTGGAAACTTGAACTAGATCAGGGTTTTTCAAACCACATTCCGTAGACCTCTAGGGGTCTGCAGAAGTGGTTCTGGGGCCTCTAGAGGGAGCAGGGTGAGGAAGGGGGCCTGGCTGGTGGAGCACTGAGAAGGGTTTTGTTTTGCTTTCAGAACAGCTTTGTTGAGAAAGAATTCACACACCATGAAATTCACCCATGTAACTTACACAATTCAATGGCTTTGAGTGTATTCACAGATTTGTGCAACCAATGGCATAATCAATTTTAGAACATTTTCACCATCCAAAGAGAAACCCTGTACCTCTTATTCATCACCTCCCAATCCCTCTATCCCCCACCAAGTCCTAGGCAACCACTCATCTACTTTCTGTCTCTATGGACTGACCTCTTCTGGCTGTTTCATATAAATGGGATCATGTAATAACAGTCCTTTGTGACGGGCTTCTTTCACTTAGCGTAATATTTGTAGGGTTCATCCATATTGTGGCATGTATCACTACTTCGTTGCTTTTTATGGCCAAATCATATTCCATCATTTGGCTATAACAGCTTCTTTTCTCTGTCTTACATACTGGGTTTCTACATACAATCACATTGAGGAAAAGGGTTTCACTGTATTTAAACAGTTCTGAAAAATGACGGCATTTGATGATCCTTAAGGTTCTTTCCTGCTCTAAAACTGGCTGTGACCTTCCTGCCTTGGCTGAAGGTCCAGGAAGGAGCCTTCTTATTTTGTTGTTTTCAACACACACTCTCCCCCTCTGAAAAACAGCTTGATTCCAGGTGTAAAGGGTTCAAAGTGGTGGGCTTTGGGGACTCTTGGGTATACTCATGAAGTAGAGACCAAGTAGAAGGAAACATAGGAGGGGGGCAGGATGTCTTTGGGAGAGATAGATGAAGACCCTGGTAGGGAGATGTTTGCTTGGCCTGCAGACTAATTGCAAGAACATGGCTGTGTCCTGTTATCCTGCTGGATTTGTTGGAAGGATGATAATAAGTGTGACCGTATGGTGAATGGACCCCAGTGCCAACCACCAAGTGCAGCTGTGGGCATTTATTTGCTGGTTCAGGAAAGAGATATTTTATCAGCGATGTTCAGTTGTATGTGGAGTGCCAACCCTGTCCTTACAGCCTTGATGGATTGTGACTCACTGGGTCTTTGCAGGCCTGAATCGACCTTGCTTTGTATGTAGAGGTATTTCTGACAACCTGGAGCAAAGCACATGTTGTATATGTCCATGAATTCCCGTCATCACTTCAGAGATACATTTCCAGAAAAAAGAAAAAAAAGAGTTTCTTCCTTAAAAGAAACTCTCCCACAACTTGTAAAATAAAACATGGTCAACTGGACTAAAAGCAAATGGAATTAGCAACGTTTAGTCAAAATGATCTGGGGCTATCGTGGGAGAGTCACTCCTCTGAGATTTAAGGGTCTTCGTCCAAGTCCATCCTTGTTCTTTGTATATTCATTCATCAGACCCTGGCTCATGGGGAATTTTTACATTTTTTTTCAAATCTTCCCTGATTCCACCAGGACTTGGGAGTCCCCAGGGGATCTCATGTTGATGGTGCTGTTCAATGGGCCCGTCAGGACTCAGGCATCCATATCCATATAGGGGTTACAGTTTAAGAGACTTCAGGTTTCACCAGTTTATTTGCAACATCATACTTAGCGACCAGTGCCGAGGGTGGAACTTCCAAGCAAAGCGTGTAGAGAACTGCTACTAGTTCCTTTAACAGAAGCCAAAGTCATTGGCCTTTTTCATGGTGACCCCATCAGGTGAAAACACTGCTATTTACCTTTTTCAAAAAAATTTCTTTTTATTTATTTATTTTTTGGCTGCATTGGGTCTTTGTTGCTGTGCTCGGGCTTTCTCTAATTGCGGGGAGCAGGGGCTACTCTTTGTTGCGGTGCGCGGGCTTCTCATTGCGGTGGCTTCTCTTGTTGCAGAGCACGGACTGTAGGCACGCAGGCTCAGTAGTTGTGGTGCGTGGGCTCTAGAGCTCAGGCTCAGTAGTTGTGGTGCACGAGCTTAGCTGCTCTGCGGCATGTGGGGTCTTCCCGGACCAGGGTTCGAACCCACAGCTTCCTCAAAGTTTTGTTGCCTCCAAAAGATTCAGCGTACAACAAATGCAAACAATGTAGCAGAGTAGGCAAAAAGAATTGCTTTTGCAACATATCAAATGCTTAAGTGTGAAAAGAGCTAAGGGAAAAAAAGTGCCCAAGCTGAGGCTGAAGTGTGTGTTTTTACATGTTTTGCAAATGATGCTGGTAAGTAAAATTTCTGGGGTCCTGAGTTCTGGATATGGATGGATTGTCTGTTTTTCAGTGTCCTTCTCTTAATGGGGCCTTTTGAGCTGTTCTGTTAAAAAAAAAAAAAAAAAGTCAGGTTCTAATTATATCCTTCCTCCCCAGCTTCTGTAACTGGGGATTCTCTGCAGACATTTGCCCCTACCTAATTAAGCTTCTCTTTGGCGTGAAACTTGTAGAATGGCAGAGGTTTTTATGGCGAAATGCCACACACACACACACACACACACACAAGTGTTTGGGCCAGAACTTAGGATTCTTTGCTGTAAGATGACTGCGCCTCCTGGCCCGCAGATCCTGGTCCTGGTATCCAGGGGCGGCAGGAAGATGGCGGTGCCTCCCTGCATCCCAGCTGGCTGTGATTAGCAGCAGGTCTGGCCCACATACTGATCTTTTCTTTCTGGGGTCCCTGTTGGTTTGCCCGACGGTGAGGTCATAGCTTCGGCACGAGGCCCAGATGGAATTAGCCTGAGTCTGTGCAACCTTAGTCTCTCCATGAGGCTTTCATTAGGTGGTTCCTTGGGAGTGGGGTGCCTTGCCGGCTCTGCGTGTAACAGTAACCTCCCTGGATTAGGGAGCTCAGTGGGGTTTCCTGGACACAGAGCCAGCAGGAGCCTGACGGTACCAGTGTGTGTGGAGCTGGTTTTCCAGAGGGTGGAATGGAAGACAGGCAGTAGGGTCTGGAATTGCTCACCTGGCCGTGGCCCATTTGCCTTCAGTGCTGAGAATGAGCTGTGTGTGTGCACCGCCTAGGCCAAACTACTCCAAGTTAGATAAACAGAAAACCCGAACCTCTGCCCAATGCCCAGTGCTTGCTTTATGGCCCATGACTGCAAATGTTCTTTCAGCCTCCGCAGCTGATAGGACTTTTGTCCTGACACCAGTTGGGGACCAAGATTCACCTTTCCTGGATGCTTTATGCCAGGATCTCACCTTCAGCCCAGTTTCTGGAAGCCTGCAGTCCTCTCCGTCAGGCTCCTGGAGGCATTTAAGCCCAGTGCCCTAAGGCACTCCTGGCATTGGGAAATCAATTCCTCTCCAATGCATCGCAGTACCAGTTATGTACCATCCTTGGAGGAATTGATCAAATAGTCACCCCACCACTACCGAAAGTATCTACAAAGCTTAAATCTTTTATATTAGAAACAGGTTGAGAAAGAGACTGTGGGCTCTGCCATGCCCCCATCTGCTCCCATCAGCTCTGTGGCTCCCATGATAGCTCCTGGGGCCCCTCCTGTACTGTTCACTGGGGGATAAGGGCTTGGTATCTTCAAGACCAAAGGGATATTTTTGACTCTTTTCTACATTTTAATGGTTTCACAAACCACACCACTGTGGCCATCTGGAGTGAATCCAGCCAGCTTTGCAAGTAATTTCCTGAAACCATCAAACCATCAAACCAGGAGATGCTTTCAGCAGCCAATGGCCTCTGCATGGGTCCCACTCACATTTCTTAACGCAACCCTCTCCTGTTCCAAGCTGCCCTCACCTCTCGTTCACTCAAGGAACAAAACAAATGCAGCCCTTGCCCTCTGCATCCTTGATTTTCCTTCTACCCCTCAGAGATGCAGAATCTCGTGAAATTCCAATAAATTTGGGGTTTTGAAATGAATTCTTATCTCTCAACAGGTTTGTAAGGCTTTTTTTTATTTGGTCGTTTTTGTTTTTTTTTGTTTTTTTTTTTAAGGTTCACCACTGTCTGGATGGCGAGTATGATTCAGCTTAGTTCCATTTAAAAAGGATTTATCTGGTGTCCATTATGTGTGAATTTGCTTAATTTGATGGTTGGCAAGATGCACTTTCGGTTCATTCTGAGGCAAACCACTAGCTGCAAAGAACGAAATTATGGCCAGAGTCACATGAAGAAGTTAGCAGTGTCCCCATTTTTAGCCTGTGTATTGATCCTTTGATGATTAGTCATATAATTATGACTTTGCTGTTTTCATTTGTGATCTTCTAGAAGACAGAAAAGTATAAGCTTAATTCCAAGTACAGCTCACCTCCACTTCACATTCAAACACTAATTTGGATGCTCTGAAACTGGCCTAGGTCTATTGTGTGAGCTCAAATACACACTTCTTTTATTTATTTATTTATTTAGAAGTACAGTTGATTTACAAGGTCATGTTATTTTCAGGTGTACAGCAATGTGATTCAGTTATGCATACACACACACACACACACACACACACACACACACACACACTTTTCAGGATTCTTTTCCATTATAGGTTATAACATATTGAGTAGAGTTCCCTGTGCTATGCAGTAGGTCCTTGTTGCTTATCTATTTTGTATATAGTACTATGTATATGTTAATCCCAAACTCCTAATTTATCTCTACCCTTCCTTTCCCCTTTGGTAACCATAAGTTAGCTTTCTAAGTCTGTGAGTCTATTTCTGTTTTGTAAATAATTTCATTTGTATCATTTTTTTAGATTCCTCCTGTAAGTGACATTATATGATATTTGTCTTTCTCTGACTTACTTCACTTAGCATGATAATCTCTAGGTCCATCCATGTTGCTGCAAATGGCATTACTCCATTCTTTTTTATGGCTG